CCCCCACGCGCCTGGCCGCGCAGCACAGCCCCGCCGCTGCGCCCACAGCTGCTGCCGCGCTGCGCGGCCCACTCCAAACAAAGCACCTCCAGGGCGTTGGGGAGGTCCACCACTGCCGATGCCACGGGGGCCGTGGAAGCCCTCCCGGCTCCCCCCACGCAGACTTTGCCAAAGCTGGCTGCTCAGCCTTCTTCAGGGTCCAGGACACCTAGCTCCCCCTCAAAGACCCCCTTCCAGACCCTCAGGCTGCTGGGCTCGGGGGAAGTGTCCAGGAGGCTTACGAAGAGGCCCTCGTCTGCGGCCTCCCTGGGGCCAAGCAGCTCAGCTCGGATCAGAGCCTGCGAGGGGGTGTCAGCAGGGGAGGGCAGGATCCCTCTGAGCCCCCAGCTGTCCCTTTGCCCAGTGTCACCAGGATTCTGAGGCCACAGAGACCCCTGTCCCAATCACCCGGCAGTGGTAGAGCAAGGGTCACACCCGGTAAACCGGGAGGGTCCCTGGCGGTCTGCAGCCTCCTGGGGCACCAACATTCGTCTTCCGGGGCTCCTTCCCCTTTCCTGCCCCCATTCCCACACCCAGGTGAGTTCTGGCTGCAGTTACCCTCACGCACCGAGGCTCCCAGTTTCCAGCGTCCAGGGCAGCGGCCCCCAGGGCCCTCTGGACATCACAACAGGCCCTCTCTGCCCTCCAAGTCAGAGGCTCGCTAGCTACCCCTGGAGCCCCGCCACAACACAGTGGTGCCGGATGCAGCAGAGCAGCTGCACATCCTTAACTAGTTAACTAGTGGGAATTCTCATTTCCATGGTGCAGGTGGGCAGGGCCGGGGCCGGGCCACCAGCGCAAGTGGGAGTCAGGTCAGACCCCAGGGACTCCCGGCCCTCTGGCAACCACCTGACCTTCCAGGTTGAGTCCAGCCCAAGGCCGCCCCTAGGTGCTGACCCTCAGCGCCCGGTGGGACACTGGTGGGGAGGCAGGAATTATAATATCTCCCCGCAGCCTTTGCCCGCTGGGCTGAGCCCTCACTCACTCTTGTAAGAGCCAAGACCCCGGGGTTGGGGGAGCAGCACATCAGCTGTGACCCTTTAGTGGTGGACCCGGGAATGGCCTCCTGGGCCCCTTCTCAGTCACCACAGGAGGCAGGGCAGATGAGCTGGGGGGGAGGAGGTGGGCTCTCCCCACTGTCAGGCCCATGCCCCCAAGGGACAGGACGAGGACAGAGGAGCCCAGGTCAGCCTCTGGGCAGGTGCAGGGGTCTGCTGACCACACTCACTCCCACGCTGAAAAACCACAGGCAGGCTGTACGAGAGGCTGGGAGGCCAGGGCCACTCACCTGGAGCACGAGGTCCACGTGGGTGGGTGGGCACTATGGACCCCCTCCTCTGCCTCCCCAACCTGGGAAGGGCAAGCACATTCCCTGGGCCCCCACCGAGGGCCTGGTGCATGCCTCCCGACCCCCTGGATGAGCAGCAGGCAGGTGTCAGCCCCCCATCCCACAGCCGGCGGGAGCTGCTCAAGGACCGTCCCAGGCCGAGGCTGCAAGTGACCACGTGGGCCCAACACGCCTGCGTGCTGTTCTTCCGGGTCTCGGGGTCAACCCCGAGGATCTGGCAGCATTTGAGAAATAACATTTCCTTAATTGCATCAGCGTGGCTGCATGTTTTTCCTTAGTCACAAGCTGGTGGGGCCGTGGGTAGGGGCACGCAGGAGGGGGAACCACACGGCCGGAGGTTGGGGGCTGTGTCTTCTTGCTTTTGCGCCTTTCTTGCCAAAAGCCTCTTTCAATGGCAGAGCCCCAAGAGACTGCCAGCTCCCCGGGCACGGCTGCCTCTGATCCCCTCCCCACTCTGACCTGCTTTGGGTTTTCTCTCCTGGCCTCAAGGCCCGGACACGGCAGGGCCCGTGGAAGCGCTCGGAACCCAGGGCCGCTGTTTGCTTCAGGGGACACAGCAGTGGGTAAGAACTGCGTGAGGAGCCAGAAGGCCGGGCCCCTGCCCGCGCGCTGTGGCCTGGGGGGGGGGGGATGGGGGACGCTGCCCCTCTTCCCTGGCGCCGCTGCTGGGACACCGGGCACTGGAGTGAACACAGGGTGCAGAGCAGGTACCCCACAGGCCTCCTGGCATCCTGCCTCGTTGCACCAGCAGAGCCGAAAGCCCACATGAACCTGAGTGTTTGTTGTGCTGGCTGAGAACCAGGGCCCCAGGTCTCCTGGAATGGTGCCCCTTGTAGGAGGGATGTGGCTGAACAGCTGCCCCCGTGTCGAGGGGGCTGGTTGAGACCTCTCTCCAAGCCCAAAGGCTTGTGTCACTGAGAGCTCTTGCGCATGCAGGAGTGGGGGGGGGGGCCCATCCCCCTCGGAGCTGAGACGGTCCAGGTGGGGCAAAAGCAAGGCCCCACCTCGGCCTCCTCGTCTCCCCTTCCCACTCCCTCCTCCCTGCGGGCCCAGAGGGACCGGGAGGAAGCCTGGGATCCCCAAACCACACCCATTATCCTTTCTGTTCTGTATGACGGCCACATGGAAGAATGGCCGATTTCTCTAAGAACTCAGTGCTTCGGTGGCATAAAGAAGGCGTCCATCTTCCCGGCCCTTGCTTGCCCTTAGGACGAGCCATGGAACTTCGTCTGTGCGACTCACCAACCCCCTGCCGAGCCTGGGCAGAGCAGCCCCCTCCCAGGCAAGGCCTTGGGGACTCTCAGGGCCCGTCGGCGTAAACCCGCAGGCCCAGGGAGCCACCAAGGGTCCTGATGACTGAGCGGGCTCGGTCCTGCCCCATTAGTCCATGCTGGGTGGCCCCATGAAAGTCACTTCACCTCCCTGAGCCTCAGTTCCCTCATCTGTAAATGAATATCCTGACACCTTCTACCTTTAGCAGGTGACTGTAAAGATGTAAGGAAACAGCAAGGTTGAGGTGTGCACTGTGGTATCTAGCACACGGGTGCATAATCCACGTCAGTTTTTAATTTGGGGCTGGTGAGCTAGCAGTTTGGCCAAATTCCAGTGGACAAAGGGTCTGACCCCAAGCGTCAGGTTCCTGGGATGACCAGCTCCCCATCACGGTCTCCCCAGTTTTGCTGGAGGCCCCTCAGGGGGGCTTAGACTCGGGATGCCGACCTACGGGATCCAACAAGGGAGGCTAAGGAGGAGAAAGGAAACCAACACCCGGCACACACGGCGGGAAGTCATCTCCCAGTTTGGTGCACATGTGCTCGCGCGCCCTGACCCTCCGGGCCCAGGGGAGGGAGAGCCAGGGCCTCAGCACCCAGTGCCAGCCGTGTGCCAGGCACTGTGACTGCAGCATGTGGCACAGAATCCTCAGAACCCCGCATGCAGCCAGGACTCCCCGTCCCTCCGATGGGAGGTAAGGACCTCTGGGCTCACACAGCCTAGGAAGAGGCCCACAAAGTGGGGCATGGGGAAGCCAGGTGCACCTGATATGGGGCCGTCCTGTTTACCAGCAGCTGCACTGCCTACAGGCGGCCAAGGGGAACCCCTCTGAGGGCCAGGACTCCTGCTTCCCTTCCCTCCCAAATCCGCCCCCTTGGTGGTCAAGGAGTCAAGCACAACTGAGGAGGGTAAAGTGGTCAAAAACCTGCTTCTCCCGCCAAAGGCTCCAGGCCCCAGTAGTTGCACAAGTTCTGCCACCTCAGTCAAACCATTCCAAAGCACAGAAACAGAAGCAACTTTGCTTATTTTCCTAAGCTGACCTAATCCCATCACCAAAATCAGGTGCAGACAACACCAATTTATATATGAGGCAATCTCCCTTAATACTCTAAGTGCAAAAATCCTAAGTAAACCGTTACTAAATGGAACGCAGTAGTGCATAACGACACCGTACCAGCAAAATACCAAATAGGATTTATCTAAAAAAGAGTGCAATATACTGCACTATGCAAAGAAACTAAAGGAGGGCTTCCCTGGTGGCGCAGCAGTTAAGAATCCGCCTGCCAATGCAGGGGACACGGGTTCGATCCCTGGTCCGGGAAGATCCCACGTGCCGCGAAGCAACTAAGCCTGTGCACCACAACTACTGAGCCTGCGCTCTAGAGCTCTTGAGCCACAACTACTGAAGCCCGTGCACCTAAAGCCCATGTTCTGCAACAAGAGAAGCCACCACAATGAGAAGCCTGCGCACCGCAACAAAGAGTAGCCCCTGCTCGCCGCAACTAGAGAAAGCCCACACATAGCCACGAAGACCCAATGCAGCCAAAAATAAACAAATACGTTTATAAAAAAAAAAAAAGAAAGAAATTAAAGGAGAAAATCCATATGATCTTGTGAGTAGATACAGAAAAAAGATTTGTTAAGGCCCCCAAATCCATTAATACATTAGATATAGGGGGAGACGTTCCTAATTTGATTAACAACAACCAAAAAAAAATCCAGGCAATGGTGGAATCCTGGAGGCATTCCCGCTCCAGCTGGGAACACAAGAGTCTGCCCTCCACGATGGGCGTCCTCGGCTCCCACTGAGAAGAAGCAAAGAGTAAGAGAAGGAAGAGATGGGGCTCTCATTGTCTGCAGCAGGCATCACCGTTTGCCAAGAAAACCCAAGAAAATCAGTTGAAACCTATTAGAACAAATGAGAGCATCTAATGGGGTCGCACCAACCCAAGGCAGGAGCCAACAAGGCAGTGGCAGCAACACGGGAGGGAGGGCCTGCTCACGGCAGCCGTGCAAACTCAGGAACTGGGGCCCCACTTGCCACCGGCCTCCAGGACCACTCAGAGCAACAGCCCACCGCTCTCCGGCGCTCTCACCGACGGCAGGAGGGGGTCGTGCTCCCAGAGCTCAGCAACCCTCCTCCAGAGGAAGAGGCAAAGCTGATCAGCTCCCGCCAATGCACACAGTCATCTTCTCA